GGACTAGGTGCGTTCCAATAAGTCTTCCTATCAATATGACCATGTTGCGAAAACAAGGTCAAACAACCTCAATATTATCGAGAGTTCGATTTTAGCATCTTTCAATGTCATCAGTCATGCTCGAATAATAATTCAGCTTCAAGTGAGTTAGAGACTGATAATGGAATTATTCCCAGAGGAAAACGACTAGACTGGGTCTCATTCAGTCTTTCCTCTCAAAAGTCTGTCTTTTATCCCAGCTGGACTGTACATTTGACCAAATTTAGGTTTTTTCAGCATCCAAAACGTGATTCGAAGTAGGATCATGCGCATCATGACAACATGGTGCCGCTACGCTACACAGCCACAGGCGCCAGTAGGCAATAAACTTTAAGACAAGTTTATACTAAATCACATTTATATGGGCGTTGTTGATGAGACAAACGTGTATTTTGTATGATTACTTTTCAAAAATGTCTGTTATTCATGAGCATGAACATAGTCAATCTAAGTCATTAAAGGTGATAGTGGAGTCTTTCCACAAGTAAATAAATATGCCTTATCATGGCATCATTCCACTACACAGTTTTAAATTCCGTTGAGGTAATGATGAGTAAACAGAACAAGTTCGAAGCTGCAGCCTGGATTAAAGAACTTTAAGAGAGTCAAAGCAAAGACAAATTAAATAGCATCAAGAGGCCTGCTGGATAAGCTCCAATATCCATCCATAAATAACCTCAAGTTTCCAATCAGCAAAAATTCAGATAAATAAGGCTAGTAGTAACTGTGCCGAAATCCTCCAGAATGTCGCGATTGGCAATTTTGTATTTATTAAACTTTCCTAAGTTTGCAAATCGAATTCTGCCAGCGATGATTATGCAGTTAGCTTAGACTGAATGACACGATAACATTTTGCGCCAAGCTAGACTTTTTCCTAATTATCGTAGGTGGCATCAGCCTCGGTGTTCTCAACACATCAGAAAAGTAGGCGTACAAGAAGCGAGACAGAGATAGTATAACTCGGTAACTAATATTAATAAATTTATAAATGCAAATAAGCTTTCAGGTAGACGAGCAGAGCGATGAAGAGATAGGAAAAACGATAAATGGGCATTCACTATGTGGCCATGATAGCCCTCAGCTATTTTAGATTCACTGTTGTGGCGACCAACAGGTTTCTGCTGATTTCCTTATTGCTATAGTAGCAAATCCGAGTGATCCCCATATATTTTTAAGATACGAAGATTAAACGGATTTCTTTAGATAAAACTGTTGGAGAGACTTTTATTTCGTATGAAAGAGTATGATGAAGAGATTAGAAGGTTGATCTCACTAGAAAACGACGGCTGACTCCGGCTTTACTGCAGCCATTTGGCTTTAATACGACTTTCAGGTTGAAGCAATTCACGAGGCCTCCTCCTTTGTTTCAGTCGAAAATGGAGTGAGGATTTGTTCGTTATGTGACGAACATCCTTGGAGCTGAGACCCATTCTTGCAAAAAATTCAAGTTAACACTAGGTCAAAAAGACTGACCGGCTCTTGCCTACATGATATATGTGCTCATAACGAGAAAAGTTTTTAGATTTAAATGGATATAGAGTAATTTGAAGAAGGTCTAACGTCAGCCCCGGCTCATCAAGGCTTAATGAGCCAAAGAAATAATGTGACCGAGATTGCTTTAATCCGTATGTAACGGGTTGAATTGATGAGATGTAGGCATTAAAGTCATGCTAAAAAATACTCAGTCAGAACCCGTTAGTCTGGGATTGCGTAATTTCGTACTTTTGATTTGTTCGACGAGATTAACATGTTTACTCAACGAGTTTGCATTTAGTTAGAACCATCACTCATCTGACAAGTTGGGTCGTCTTCTTTTGGACGGCGGCTAAACACCATCTGTCTCCCTTACTCTGTTAATCAGGCATTAGTAATTCTTAATCAACTATCCTACATATTTTACCTGAATTTTACTTCATCAGAGATTTTAAAATGCTGTCCTTAACCTCAGGCTGGACGACAGCTCCGAACTCTTCTCCCCATCCAGTCAGCGGCTCCTGTGGAATTCGCGCAATCATTGTGATGGCTAAGGAAGTTAGGATGGGCGATTAAAAATACTACACGCTGTCTCACACGCCACAAGACTCGTCACATTTGGTTATATAATAAGCATGACTTTCAAGACAAAGCTAGTCTATATATAAAATTACATATTTTGGGTAGTTTTTACCAGTAATCACTCTGGAGACACCTTCCAATTGATCGGATAAACATTTGCTGAGCGCTCCTATATCATTAACTAAACAAGCCCACCTTCAAACTTAGTACATTATCTAATAAAACAAACCTAAATCGTATAGAAATTGTTTGACCTTGTTTTCGCAACTTGGTCATATTGGTAGGAAGACCAATAGGAAAGCAACT